TAGTAATCAATCTATTCTCAATTTTTCTATCTGCGACTTGTTGTTTATTGCTTAATTATCTGACATACAACGTTCATAAGATTTTCAATTCCAAAACTCGATTATGGTGTTCCGTTACTATATTTTGTTTTTTTAGCTTTGGTCTTCAATAACCATCAAAAGTCAATTTTAAGAAAATAAACTTTTCAAAAATAGTGGATGTAAACAGAACCGTTTATCACGCATACTATAGTAATTCTATTCCATGGTATTTATCCTAAAAGTTCATTTAGTGATCTAGTTTACTCCTAAACAATTGAGGAAATTGTAAATGCATTTTCTATCTTCATTGATAATTATTTTGAAAAGATTTACACATCACGAATTGTCTATTTTTAAGGTAGATCAATAAAAGTGACATGACTCAATAGGAATCAAGATTTAGTTATTCTCAAATGATCAGAGTGATAAAAGTATCAATCACTGACTGCTTCGGTGGAAATTGAAAAAACGAGATTCCTGTGGTAATTAATATAGGATGATCATTAATGGAATGAGTTCAAACTTCTCTTGAACTTTGTCAAGTAGAATATTTGTAAAGCTGTTTCATCCTGCTGACTAAAAAACTCCAAGAGAAAAGGTCTTCTAGAATAGACTAATAAGGGATCTTAGCTGAATTTTTGCAACGAGAGTAATTTGCGTCGCAATTAAACACCGGACAATTTTGGAAAAATGGAATGTCAAATATTGGAGAGGGCTTAATAATGTCGTGCCGGCTACAACTAGATCACAAAGACAGGTATGAGAAGATATTAAATGCAACGCGAAACATTTTAATTTGAATTTCTAATGCACAGGGTTAATACAGGTAGTGAGAAAATATGACAAAAGTAGCAATATTTTAATGGACACTCTGAGAAGAAACAGACAAGTGTTGACTTCGCACATAAACAGAACATTAAATGAAAAGCAAAGCAGTTTGCGTTGGATGAGTACTGACACTTTCTTTGTTGATCAAATCGTTCATTATCAAATTTCTTAATGGAAATGCATGAAATTACAACATTACTTATATTTGGTGATGGAAATACCAGTTAATAGACTTTTTTGCCGTATGCGTATACGTTGACAAGGATGCACCACGAGGAGGTAAGTCTATCGCACACCCCGTGTCCTACAGAATAGATTCAATACAAACGTCTCTTTTAGTTGCGATGCTTTAAGTTTCTCTCTAGTGCTATATAAAATTGAAAAGACCAAAAAATAGTTTAAATTGGTACTGAGATGAAAAATATTTAAGATTGACACGCGAACCCAACGAAAGTAGACTGCAGTAGGAAGGGGTTTTTTATATTTTTGTTGAGATACGTAACCAAAAGGTATATAAAAATGCATGAAATTACAACATTACTTAAATTTGGTGATGGAAATACCTCATATTTCCTTCTCGTCGCCCTCTTGCAATTTTGCAAGAAACTATTTTATCTCTAATTGAGACTCACAAATACCTGTGCATGAAAATTTACATTTATTTCAGAAACAATAATAAGTAAATATTTTTTATATACCTTTCGACAAAAATATAAAAAACCCCTTCCTACTACAGTCTACTTTCGTTGGGTTCGCGTGTCAATCTTAATTATTTTTCATCTCAGTACCAATTTAAACTATTTTATGGTCTTTTCATTTTATAGAGCACTAGAGAGAACCTTTACGCATCGCAACTAAAAGAGACGTTTGTATTGAATCTATTCTGTAGGACATTGGGTGTACGATAGACCTAACTCCACGTGGTGCACCCTGGGCAACGTAGGCACATACGGCACATAGTTGACTTCTCTCTTCAAATTGCCATGACCCTACTGTATGTCATATTCGACCATATTCACAGTACTCACCTCCCCTTTTGCTACCATTGTGTCTGTCTCTTTTACATCTTTAAAACGCTCTTCTATTCCCCCTTTTGAATTCTTCTCACTTTGATGTTCCTTCTCCTCTCTGTGAAGCATGAAATCAACTAAAGGGCCAATGATAACCATCAAGACGCCTGCCATTTATTACAAATATTCTGTGGGACACGTTATCGCTTTGTACGTCATCGTATGCCTGCATGCCAGGCTTGGGAGGTGCGGCCGTACAGCGATCGTACAAACAGTAGCCAATCAGTAGCTTCCCCAACCCGACCATGATTCAGCCCCCCTACATTTTGTTTCTTATCTTTGGTCTTCGTAATTGAACTCTATCTCTTTCCATTCAAATTTGTTGCAAACTTTGCTGTCGCATCAATAACCATCAAACGTCAATTTTAAGAAAATAAACTTTTCAAAAATAGCGGATGTAAACAGAACCGTTTATCACGCATACTATAGTAATTCTATTCCATGGTATTTATCCTAAAAAGTGCATTTAGTGTTCTAGTTTACTTCTGAACAATTAAAGAAATCGTAAATGCATTTTCTATCTTCATTGATAAATATTTTGAAAAGATTTATACACCACAAATTGTCCGTTTTTTAGGTAGATCAATAAAAGTGACATGACTCAATAGGAATCAAGATTTAGTTATTCTCAAATGATCAGAGTGATAAAAGTATCAATCACTGACTGCTTCGGTGGAAATTGAAAAAACGAGATTCCTGTGGTAATTAATATAGGATGATCATTAATGGAATGAGTTCGAACTTCTCTTGAACTTTATCAAGTAGAATATTTGTAAAGTTGTTTCATCCTGCTGACTAAAAAATTTCAAGAGAAAATGTCTTCTAGAATAGACTAATAAGGGATCTTAGCTGAATTTTTGCAACGAGAGTGATTTGGGTCGCAATTAAACACCGGACAATATTGGAAAAATGGAATGTCAAAGACTAGAGAGGGCTGATTAATGTGGTATCAGATACAACTACATAACAACTACAGGTATGGGAGAGATACTGAATAAAACATTGAGCAATTTTATTAAACGTTGTAATAAACAGGATTAATACAAGTTGTGACAACAACTTGGCAACAAGGACAATAGTTAAAGGACACTCTGAAAAGAGCCAGAGAAGTTGTGCCGAAGCACATAAACCAAACATGCAAATTGTGAGAAGAAAGAGGGCGACGAGAAGGAAATATGAGGTATTTCCATCACCAAATATAAGTAATGTTGTAATTTCATGCATTTCCATTAAGAAATTTGATAATGAACGATTTGATCAACAAAGAAAGTGTCAGTACTCATCCAACGCAAACTGCTTTGCTTTTCTTACCCATCGCGTAAGCGAATGACAAAGGTGTTTAATGTGCATGTGTGGGGAGTCGGCTTAAGAACTCTGCGTAGATATGAGATTTTAATGGCAGGTACCCGCATTAATAGTCTCCAAATCCTCCAATAAAAATAAAGACATGAAACAGGTGCATAGGGGTATACTTACTCGAGAAGGGCCATGCAGCATTAGCGTGTATTTTGTGAGTACATGGCTTGTGAAACTCCCTCCACGACCTCTACCTTATAATCAACTACTACTCTGCAATTAAGACTTCACACTTACTCGCCATTTTTAATTTGAGTGCAACCAATTCCCTCTTGCCATGCAAGGATCCCGATGCAAGGGAAAATTTCAAAAGGGCCAAAACGCTGTTGCAAGGTAAGCACAACACCTCCCTCTCAGAAATCGATCAAATCGCCACAATGGAAATCGCGCGTTATGATTGCTCCTACCAGGACCCTGCCGAACCAAAAATCATCATCGTTGTTCCTTATAGACATCGTGAATTGGACCTCCTGTCGTTTATTCTCCACATGGTTCCCTATTTTCGCCACCTTGTTAGGCAAATGGAAATACTCGTAGCTGAACAAAATGGAACAGGGCCATTCAATCGAGCCAAGCTCTTCAATGCGGCGATTCGAGAGGTAAAGAAGGCTCCCAAAGGCGATCGACTCTCCGGAAGCAAGTGTTTCGCATTTCATGATGTCGATAAATTGCCAATTAATCTTGATGTCCCCTACTCCTGTGCCATGGGACCCCAACAACTTGTATGGAGTTTCCAGAGCGATAACAAAACCGTAGAGTTCGTTGCATGTTCTTTTTAACAAAAAGGCGCTCGATTTCCTATTCTTGTCTAATACCATGCTTTGTTGCCTGCAGAACGTACTCCTCTTTTCTTGGAGGTGTAACAATGTTTTCAATGGATCAGTTGGAGAGAATTAACGGAGCCTCGAATTCGTTCGTGGGATGGGGTGGTGAGGATGACGATCTCTGGCGACGCGTCAAAATGGCCGGACTGGAGGTGGTAGAAGCCGATAAGAATAAAGGCCAATTCTACGAAGGTAACTATCAGCATTCTCAAGCAGCAAATCCGAATCGTCATGCACTTTTGAACCGTGGAAACCAAGAATCGATTATGCGGAATGATGGGCTACGACAGGTCAATTACACTCTTATATCCCGAGTGAATTATAACACGTTTGTGTGGCTACTTCTCGATGTATAGTATCTGCGATCATTTAATTTTTTTTGCATTTCCTACTTTCCAATAACTCCAGCCATTACCCCTCTACGAATGCTTTGTCTTGACCGTAAATTACTACTTCATTGAATTTGTGCAATGTTGCATATATTGATAATATCAAATAATTATTCCCTCATCATATGAGTAGATATTATATTTACCGGACCTCATTTCTTGGTAATAAAAACCACAAAAATTATAGAAATTTTTTTTCATTACTAAGATCGGTAAAAAGTATGGTAAACAATTGCATTTATTTTAATTTATATTAATTTTCTCACCACCTGGTCATTTTAACTTATATATGTTGTTGAAATTTTTGCGATTTTAAGACATTATTTGCCAACTTCTAGAACTCAACTATATCTCAGATCCTGGAATTATTCCCGTGGAAAATATTTCGTGATAAGCGGCTTGTTGATCTCAATCCTAACAGAGAGTGGATTGAGTAGACTAGTAACTATCATGTGATATGAGTACAATAGAATTAAATCAGATGTCAAGACTTAAACAGGTGCAATGCGAAGGAGGTGAGTGGTGTTGGGGGGGGGGGGCGTATGGAAAGGGTAATTTCGACTTATATCGAGCTTCCTTGGCCATTCTGACTGCTTCATGATTTCATAAGCGTAGACGTTTGCTGTTCTTCGTGATGCTTTCACTCCATACCTCTCCACTCTCAAACAAAAATGACTAACGAACGTACGTGGCTTGCATGGCTTTCAGTGAGATATTTACAGAGGTAATATACGGCACGAATGGGTGATTGTGGTGTTGAAATCAAGTAAAGAAACTCTAACAACAATAAAATAATAAGTTGAGTGGAACTGTTTGTGAGTTCTTGTTGCCAGTTTGAGAATAAATACCTATTTCATTCTAGTCTACTCATCACATTCCTGACCAAATTTTCCCTTTCCTTTCCACAAATTGGATGTTTTTATTCGCTTTCTAAATAAGTATAACCGATTCCTCCTTTTATATTGAAATTAGTTGACTACGTGTCTTAATGTGGGCAGTATATCTGAAGTAATCAACAAGTTAACATTTGCGTCGATCGGCTGCTATGGTGGTAATTGAATTTCATTATGAAACTTCCAACGAAGCAAATGCTTTAAAGCCGAAAAGGATGGAAAGTACTTTTTGAATTCCTCAACTCGTTCGAGGACATGAGAGGGTTAATGAAATGTATGAGCAATTAGCTCATTCAATCGGAATTTAATTTCAGCCGAAAGGCTATGTGATAGCCGATATAGGGACTATCAATAATTAGCAATTTCATTTGAGCATTATAATTAAATTAGCTAATTTATTTATTTCTTGTACTCTAGAAGTTTTAATTTCAGGCGTAAATTTGCTAAATCAAATAAGCGAATTAATATTTCAGAAATCAGAAATCCCCTGATTGATAACAATTTGAATGACATTTGGCTTGTTTTCTAGTAAGTGTTACGATTATAAATACTATCATAGCTGCCAATCTTTCAAAAGTACCTGTGGAAACTTAGGCGAAATCAAATTATATGGGTGACGTCAACTCATTTGTGCAAGGATTTGTCTCGACAACATTGAGGAATTGTTTCAACCCAAAATTGATATATATTCAGTGTTATGCAAGTGTGGCATTTTTTTGTGTGGCATGAGTTTTCATTGAATGGCATCTTATACATAATTCAATGCGCATCAAAATGTCATAAGAGCAGTAATCTATGCAGACAATGAAGATGGTGGGAAGGTGGGAAATAAGAGATCTAACAGAGAGGGGTTATTAAGGAAGGGAGGGGATATTAAAGTAAGGAGGGAGATTTTATCATTTCTGTGCAATTGGCATACTGAAGCTTGAGGCAGTGGACTGCTCCCTTTTCCATTGTTTCTTCAATTCACACTGCTAGCTAACATAGCGGTCATGATACTGGCTTCCAGGCCAGGCCAGGGATGGGGAAAGTGGTTGTTCATTGGTACGCAATTTCTCTTTAAATTAGGTCACAATTTTCACTCTGTCTTAAGTAAGCCTTCTCAATGTTTTTGCAACTGACAGCTATTCCCGACTGAATGTGCTCAGTTTGATCGGTAGCCGTCTGCTTATTCATTGATGTCATTTCGTTCGCTTATCAATTTATTCTATTGCTATATCACTTTCTTCTCGACGATCTACTGACGGTTCACGTCCATTTTGTTGACCTTGGCTCTATTCTCTGCATAATCTTAAACCTGAAATTTTTGGTTAATACTGCTTTCATACTGTTTTCTTCTTTTGAATGACTAATTAATTAATGACTACTTTATGCACAGAGAATAGAGTCTGGAGTAATTGAAATATGTCAAAAAAAACTGCACCAAACATTCTTTTCATAATCGTGCCAAAATTTTGGAAAGGAGGTGGAAGGAGTCTCTTGAATTCTATGGTTATACCTCGTTAATAGCAGGCCAAATCAAATAATTGTAAGGACGAAGTAGAGTTGGCAAGAGTCATTTTAAGAAGGCTCGTCGAATTTGAGGAGGCATGAAAATTTTAATTGAGGACAAATGTTGCACTGACACTTCAATGTCATCTTACTGAAGGTAAACTTTTATCAAACTTCTATAATTATTATTTGAATTCCTGTTGTTATTATTAAGAACTTTTTTTCCAAAGAGGCAAAAAGAGAGGTGGCCAGTCATTCTTTTCTATCCACAACAACAACGGGTAGCTAAAATTTTTGCGAACACTGGAGATATAACGTTTGAAAGACACTTATCATATATCCAATGAGTCTTTATTAGCAACCTTGCATACAAAGTGGATTAAAGTGCTGCGATATAGTGACAACAGGTTAGGTCATGTAATACTTGATTGCCTAGTAATTCGTGATCTAGCTCCTGATGTACCAGGGGTAAGCGGTTATTGCAGAAAAACCTGCAGCTCTCTCTCTCCGATAATTTTTACATCATATAATTCTTGACAATTGTGTCATCTTGCATACATTTTAAATAACTTATGCCATTTAAGGTAACGTCCTTTATCTATAGGATACTCCTCAACAAAGCCCTAAGTCAACCCCTCTTTCTGCGAATCTCCTAACGTGCACTTGACTCAATCATGTTTCTGAGAGCTTAATAGGTCACTGAGGTCGTCCGCGAGGCCAATACGGACTGACATCATCAGTCAAATTAATGTTGGTGGTTGATCAATATGTTTCAGTCCATTCCATGATTTTTGTCTCGCTTCTTATTGATTTCTCCCTCATGCAAACGAGGTGCATAGTGCAAGTTCTAATTCTTTACCATGTGCATTATCCACTTCACCTCTCTTCGAAAATGTGAGGTCGCAAGTACAAAATGCAGAGTACTTGAATATCAAATAGGAGTTTTTAATGAACTCGAATCAAATGCATCACTACCACACAGGTATTTTCAGTTAACGCATTTCACGGTCAGATCTGCGTAAGATCATAGGCACAAAATTTGAATCTCACATATCCATCCTATTGAGGCGAACATTAGTTCTTCTTTAGTAAAGAAATGTTGTCTTATCTACCCGTACTCTTTATTTCCTGCTTTATCTCGCGCCTGGTCTCTGTTCATTAGAGGGCACGAACTTGGGTTTAGAAGTAATGGGAGGGAAGAAATGATTAGGAGAAGAAAGTGAGAGGAAGAAGAAAAAAGAGATTTTTTGTGATGGTTCACTTTTTCAATGAACAGAATGTCGAAGGAAGCGTATTAAAAATAGGGCATCATTAGGCATTATTTTTCATAAGAATAGTTGAATAGGCATACGGTTTTTTATGAGAAAGAAAAAGTTGACCTAAGGACATCAGAAATTGCAAAAGTGTGGCCAAATCTCCAACTTGCTACATTTGGCTAACTTCACACTGTTCTACTTAACTATTTCGTTTGGCGTGTCGGCAAGTTATCTATTATTGATTGGAGAGGTTGCGTGACCAATGCTACTTCCATTTGTTCAGTAGAAATGACAAGTTAACTAACAAATTCGTCAACAGATAAATCCATTTTCTAGAGAAGTATTGTATCAATTTAGCAGTTTAAAAAGCTCAATGAATGCTATTCGAAATAAAAACTTGTCAGGTGTTAAAGAGGCCACTTTCAATCTTAATTTTACTTAAGCATCTTCAAATCTTCCTCGAACTTCTTAAAAAGAGACTCGATATTACAAAAGCCTTGGCCATTTTTCAGCCAGTCAATGGCCTTCTTCCCCCCCCCCCCCCCCCCCACAGTATCCCACATTCGTCCTTCTTCGTGGCCAAACAGGTGTAGTTGAATTGTTCATCATTCACAAGAGGTCTTAGATCAGAGTTTGAAAAGTGCTATAGCACCTCTGAGATCTGCTATTTCCAAATCTCGCATGTCAAGATCATTCCATCATCTTCATCATCCAGATGTAAAAGATGCCCGCAATTTGATCTCCGAGTTAGCCCCTTAGAACATAGAAAAGAAGGGAGCATTTAAGAACGCTTATGGCTCGGGTGTAAACCCTGCACTACAGGAAATTGCTTTTAAGTCGACTATGCACTGATTTACGTTCCCCCTATCACCCGTTCTCATTATATTAATTATTAATTATATTGTATTAATTCATAATTTTGTAACGTAATACGCAGGCTTAATTTCAAATATTTGCATTCGCACTCATTCCAATAATTCGTATTGCTGTACAGGTTTGTTAATTGAATCATCATTATCGTTCGGATGTTCACAGTCTGGAACTTATGAAAATAATATCTGCCTTATGCTATCATTAATAGAATAATTTTCGATTTTATATTGCATGAATTCTTTGTCTTTTGTCAGAGGAAAAAATTATAATCTAAACAAAATACGAATAGAAATCAAACTAAAAATAAGAATGCTTTGCAATGCTTGTTCATTACCAATAAAAACCAAGATAACTAATTAATGGACTTTTAAGCATATCCCATCAACATCCAACACAGCTCAGCCCAACTTTCTTCTATTTCTCCCTACGTTTCGTAATTTTCATTCAAGTAAAC